AAATAACTTCTTCACAGAGTTACAACAAATAATCCTAAAATTTGTATGGAGCCAGAAAAGACCCCGAATAGCCAAAGCAATCTTGAAAAAGAAAGCCAAAGCAGGAGGCATCACAATCCCAGACTTCAAGCTATACTACAAAGCTGTAATCATCAAGACAGTATGGTACTGGCACAAGAACAGATACTCAGATCAATGGAACAGAATAGAGAACCCAGAAATGGACCCACAAATGTATGGCCAGCTAATCTTTGACAAAGCAGGAAAGAATTTCCAAGGGAATAAAGATAGTCTCTTCAGCAAGTGGTGTTGGGAAAACTGGACAGAGACATGCAGACGAATGAACCTGGACCACTTTTTTACACCATACACAAAAATAAACTCAAAATGGGTGAAAGACCTAAATGTAAGACAGGAAGCCATCAAAATCATCGAGGAAAAAGTAGGCAAAAACCTCTTTGACCTTGGCCGCAGCAACTTCTTACTCAGCACGACTCTGGAGGCAAGGGAAACAAAAGCAAAAATGAACTACTGGGACCTCATCAAAATAAAAAGTTTCTGCACAACGAAGGAAAGAATCAGCAAAACTAAAAGACAGCCGACGGAATGGGAGAAGATATTTGCAAATGACATATCAGATAAAGGGTTAGTATTCAAAGTCTATAGAGAACTAATCAAACTCAACATCCAAAAAACAAATAATCCAGTGAAGAAATGGGCAAAAGACATGAATAGACACTTCTCCAAAGAAGACACCCAGGTGGCCAACCGACACATGAAAAAATGCTCCACATCACTCATCATCAGGGAAATACAAATCAAAACCACAATGAGATACCACATTACATCTGTCAGAATGGCTAACATGAACAACTCAGGCAACAACAGATGTTGGTGAGGATGCAGAGAAAGAGGATCTTTTTTGCGTTGTTGGTGGCAATGCAAGCTGGTGCAGCCATTCTGGAAAACAATATGGAGGTTCCTCAAAAAACTAAAAATAGAACTACCCTATGACCCAGCATTTGCACTACTAGGCATTTATTCATGGGATACAGGTGTGCTGTTTCAAAGGGACACATGCACCCCCATGTTTATAGCAGCACTATCAACAATAGCCAAAGTATGGAAAGAGCCTAAATGTCCATCGATGGATGAATGGATAAAGAAGGTGTGGTAGGTATATACAATGGAGTATTACTCAGCAATCAAAAAGAATGAAATCTTGCCATTTGCAACTACGTGGATGGAACTGGAGGGTATTATTGCTAAGTGAAATTAGTCAGAGAAAGACAAAAATCCTATGACTTCACTCATATGAGGACTTTAAGAGACAAAACAGATGAACAGAAGGGAAGGGAAACAAAAATAATATAAAACCAGGGAAGGGGACAAAACAGAAGAGACTCATAAATATGGAGAACAAACTGAGGGTTACTGGGGGGATTGTGGGAGGAGGGATGGGCTAAATGGGTAAGGGGCACTAAGGAATCTACTCCTGAAATCATTGTTGCACTATATGCTAACTAATTTGGATGTAACTTAAAAAAAAAAAGAATATTTCGTTTGGTGATCTTTTGCTTCATTAATTATATCACTTGTTTCCACAATTTTCTCCCTTTTTGCACCTGCATTTGCAAGATATGAGAAATATGCTATGCTCTCTGCCTTCCCCCAACCCTGGAAACACTCTGCTCAATATATACTTTACTTTGTGAAGGAAGCTTAGAGTTTTTTTAGTGCCCTCTACTTGAAAAGATTGAATTCTCTAAGGTGACTTTCAAGCAGATGTCATTTATTAACTAGTTATGTTTCCTCATTAATCTTAGCCTTTTTCTCATCAGTTCTGCTATGAAAATGTAGCCAAAACAAAACTTTGGGGACAGTCTGAGGCATGTACTGCCCACTCCTTTCCTTTCTTTGCTTCTGGAAGCAGATGTGTTTTAATACAGGGGGGCAGTGGGTGGGTGGGGGGGGAATGATGATACAAAGAGGACTTTCTTGGTCTCTTCTTCCATAGAGTTTATAGTATCTATATGTGTTTTGTAGTACACAAGTATTATCTCTTGGCTATTAACATTCTGTGCATTAAAATTAGCCTTCTTTTCTCTTTTAAATTAGAAGTTTAAATAAGTTGGAATTTATTCGTCCTTCTCTTCATCTTCCTTTGGCTTACTAGGGTAACAGGATGTAGACATTTAAGAGCAATGTGCTGACAAAGCCAAGAGAATGCATTTCCTTTACACTTAGCGGGAAAAAAATCTCCAAAACAGACAAATATAAAAAGGATAAATTTAGGGGCCACCTGTCTGGCTCAGTCAGAAGAGCATGCAACTCTTGATCTCAGGGTTGTGAGTTTGAGCCCCGCATTGGGTATAGAGATTACTTACATAAATAAACTTAAAAAAAAAAAAAGAGAGATTTAGAAAAGTGAAGAGCAGGAGTGGCCTGAGGTTGTGTGGGGCCTGAGGGTTATTTAATATGGGAGGCACACTTCTTTAAGAATCAGAGTGCAAACTATCTTTACAACCCTAAAACAAGTGACCATGTGATCACGTTGATAGGGTCCGTCCTGGGGTTTTGGAGGTGGCCTGTGCACGTGAGAGGACCCACAGCTTCTATAGCTTCATGGTAAGTGTGTCTCTGGTTCATCTACAGTATGGTTTCAGATGTACTTTTTGGGGTTTTTGCTATTGATTTGTGTTACACTTCACTGGATTCCCCCATTTTTACTAAATGGACTTTCTAGAGCCAAGCGTTGGATTTGTTATATCATAGAACAGAAGTTGGGCAGTATGGCCCTGGACTCAGACTATTTCTGTGGAGCCTGTGTCAGTCCATGTGCCAGAACCACGAAGCTGCCTTTTTGTTTTCTCTCTAACAAGAGATCAGAAGGTCTCTTTCTGGAGAAGGAAGTGATTAATGAAGAACATTCATCTTGTAAAGAAACATCTTAAACAGTGTCCGTTCACCCTATACATATTGATTATTCTTTCAAGGAGAAATCCAAATGCCGTGACTATAAGCTGCGCACAGCATCTGTGAACTCCTCATAAGCTCAGTTAGGAAATACAAAGTTGGGTGTGTTTGTGTCTGTGAATATATATGATAATTTTGTCAGTTTGGCGGGCAATTATTTTTACTTAAAGAACAAGTAATTTCTTGGCATTTTATACTTACAGGTTATTAATATACATAGTTTATAAAGTGTTAAGATTAGTTTTTAGCTAACACACTCATAATTCTATTTAAAATAAATCGTTTCTGGGGCGCCTGGGTGGCGCAGTCGGTTAAGCATCCGACTTCAGCCAGGTCACGATCTCGCGGTCTGTGAGTTCGAGGCCCGCGTCAGGCTCTGGGCTGATGGCTCGGAGCCTGGAGCCTGTTTCCGATTCTGTGTCTCCCTCTCTCTCTGCCCCTCCCCCGTTCGAGCTCTGTCTCTCTCTGTCCCCAAAATAAATAAACGTTGAAAAAAAAAAAATAAAATAAATCGTTTCCCTCTTTAATGGAGACATTTTTGGAAGTGATATGTTTATTCCTACATTATTGAAATATATACTTTCAGAATTTCATATGGAATTTGTTTTATAAATTCATTGTGTGTGTGTGAATACATGTGAATACATACATGTGAATACATACATATACATACAGACACAAACATACATGTGCATACATACACATACATTTTGTCTCTTGCATGGCCTATGTGAATAAAATTACAAAATTCTACTATGGTTATATTTATTTATGTGGGAGGATAAAAGAATAAAAGAAATGAAAGGAAATAGCCTATGCATGGATAGGAAGACTCGGTATTATCAGGATGTCATTTATGTGCACACTCATCTGTAGCTAAGTACAATTCAATTGCTTTTGAAGTGTTGTGCTTAGGAACTTGAAGATTAAAAAGGGATTTTAAAGTACATTTATGAAAAAATCATGCAAAAATAGCCAGGAAATTTTTCAAAAGAAGAACAAGGACCAGAGACTTTATCTTATTTTTTTTAAGTTAATATCAGACTTCAACAACTAACTAACTTCAGCAATTAATGTGTATTATGTAATTAGGTATGTAGTGTACTGATGTACACAAGTCAATAGGAAATAAGCCCAAGTATTTATTATGATTTAGTATATCAGCACAGTGGCATATAAAATCACCGGGCGGTGTTAGGAAATAAAAGTAGCATTTATTGGGCACTCACTATGTACCCGGTGCTGCTCCAATCACTTGACATCTGTCATTTAATCCTAACCTCACAATAACCTTATGAGTTTGTATTAGTCCTGATTTATAGATGTAGGATCTAAGACTTAGAGAAATTAAATAATTTGCCAATGATCATACAGGTGGTAAGTGAGAGGTGGGTTTTAGATCTAGGCAATCTGGCTTCCAGCCCAATCTCTTAACCAGTATGCGTTACTGCCCACAGTGCCCCTTGCCAATGATACATGCTAGTTATTTTAGAGCATTGTCAGTATAACAGGCAAAACAGTTTTTAAGTATTTTTTCACTTTCTAAATTGCATTCTTTAATTACCAAGGAGAATGAACTTGTAAAATATTGCATATATAGATGTCTTTTTTTTTTTTTTTTTTGGTAAACTACTCCCACTGTTATGTTCAACTTTTACTTTTTGATTTATAAGAATTCTTCACATACTAAGGATATTACTCTTTATCATATATATGGTTGCAGCCACACTCAAATTCAAAAATGACAAACCATACTTTGCCTCTATATTACTAATTATACTGTTTTCACCTTTCCTGAAACGTACTTTCCCTGCATAATCCCTGCTCTTCATGATCTCAGTTTAAACATACCTCACAGTAAGGCCTTCCCTGAAACCCAGGACTAAGTTAGAATGCCCTCTTCCAGGTAACCAAAATACCCTGTACCTCCCTCTTGTAAACATGAATCATATTTATATTTACTTATCCAAAGTTTATCCACTCTAATAGAGTAGATATTCTGCTTATATTCTGCTTATATTTACCTGTGAAATGTTTTCCTTTCATAATTTTCTTGTTCCTGATATGGCCTTTTCTTCCCACTCCCTTCAATGTTTCTTGTAAGGCTGGTTTAGTGGTGGTGAACTCCTTTAACTTGTTTGTCTGGGAAACTCTATCTGTCCATTCTGAATGACAGGGTTGCTGAGTAGAGTAATCTTGGTTGCAAGTTTTTTTTTCCTTCCAGTACTTTGACTCTATCATGCCCCTCCCTTCTGGCCTGCAGTTTCTGCTGAAAAAATCAGCTGGTAGCCTTATGGGGTTTCCCTTATATGCAGTGATTTTCTTTCCTCTTGCCGCTTTTAAAACTCTACCTCTACTTTTTGGCATTTTAATTATTATGTGTCTTGGTGTAGACCTCATTGGGTTAATTTTGTTGGGGCCTCTTTGCTTCCTGGACCTGGATCTCTGTTTCTTTACCCAGATTAGGGAAGTTTTCAGTTATTATTTCTTCAAATAAATTTTCTACTCCCCTCTCTCTCTCTTCTTCATCCGGGATCCCTATAATGGGAATGTAATTATGCTTGCTGATGTTCTTGAGTTCCGTTAACCTATTCTCATTTTTTATTATTCTTTTTTTCCATTCAGCTTGGTTGCTTTCCACTACTGTGTCTTCCAGCTCACTGATCTATTATTCTGCTTCCTCTAATCTATTATTGATTCCCTCTGGCCATTTATTTTATTTTTTAAATTTATTTCTTTAAATTCAAGTTAGTTAACATACAGTGTAGTATTGGTTTCAGGAGAAGAATCCAATGATTCATAACTTATATATAACACCCAGTCATCATCCCAACAAGTACCCTCCTTAATGCCCATCACATTTGGCCTATCCCCCCACCCACCTCTTCTCCAGCAAACCCCAGTTTGTTTTCTGTATTTAAGAGCCTCTTGGGGGCACCTGGGTGGTTCAGTCAGTTGAGCGTCCTACTCTTGATTTTGACTCAGGTCATGATCCTAGGGTCATGGGATTAAGCCCCATGTCTGGCTCCACACTGAGCATGGAGCCTGCTTAGGATTCTTTCTCTTTCCTTCTGCCCCTCTCCTCTCTCTCTCTCTCCCTCTCTAAAATAAAAAAAAATTTTTTAAGTCTTTTCTGGTTTCCATTATCTCTGCTTTTATTTTATTTTTCCTTCCCCTCTCCTATGTTCATCTCTTTTATTTCTTAAATTCCACAAATGAGTGAAATCGTATGATATTTTTCTTTCTCTGACTTATTTCACTCAGCATAATACACTCTAGTTCCATCTACACTGTTGCAATATGGCAAGATTTCATTCTTTTTGATCAAGTAATATTCCATTATATATGTATACCACATCTTCTTAATCCATTCATCAATCGATGGACATTTGGGCTCTTTCCATAATTTGGCTATCATTGATAGTGCTGCTATAAACATTGAGGTGCATGTGCCCCTTCGAATCATCATTTTTTATTCTTTGCATAAATACCTAGTGGTGGTCATAGGGTAATTCTGTTTTTAATTTTTTGAGGAACCTCCATATTGTTTTCCAGAGTGGCTGCACCAGCTTGCATTCCCATCAACAGTGCAAAAGTGTTCCCCTTTCTCTGCATCCTTGCCAACATCTGTTGTTTCCCAAGTTGTTAATTTTAGCCGTTCTGACAGGTGTGAGGTGGTATCTCATTGTGGTTTTGATTTACAATCAACAAAACTAAAAAGCAACCCATGGAATGGGAGAAGATATTTGCAAATGACATATCAGATAAAGGGTATCCCTCCAGTGCATTTTTAATTTCAGTTATTGAATTCTTTGTCTCATTGATTCCCTTCTTTTTTTACATTTTCTTGTGTTTTTTTTTCACCATGATCTCAATTATGTTTTTATTTTTTTTCACAACTTTGTTTTTAAAACTGAAGAGGAAAAAGGAGAAAATTAACTTTATTAGTTGCATATGAGCAATGAAAATATTTTTACACATAATTTTCTATATTTTCCAAATTATCTATAATTTATTCATTTATTTTTACTCTAACTTTAAATCTTTATATATTTTTACTTAAATTTAAAGACATTTTATTAAATTTATAGAGAAATCTAGCTTCAAAAATCAATTGGAACCAAAGGCTTATAATGAAAAACAGAAGTCTGGTCTCAACTCCTCTCCAATTTCATTCCCTAAGACAACTGTTTTTTGTGGGTTTTTAAAATTTTGTTTAAATTTTAATAAATTTTAATTACACAAACATCTACATGAGACACTTATTTTTTATTTTTTTTCTTTTTTTTTTTTTAATTTTTTTTTTCAACGTTTATTTATTTTGGGGACAGAGAGAGACAGAGCATGAACAGGGGAGGGGCAGAGAGAGGGGGAGACACAGAATCGGAAACAGGCTCCAGGCTCTGAGCCATCAGCCCAGAGCCCGACGCGGGGCTCGAACCCACGGACCGCGAGATCGTGACCTGGCTGAAGTCGGACGCTTAACCGACTGCGCCACCCAGGTGCCCCGAGACACTTATTTTTTAAATCAGAGTTCCTATTCTGTGCCTCATCTGTGGTAAACATAACTTTTGTAGTTATTTTAAAATATTTTTCAAAGTAGCCGTTTATTTATTTATTTATTCTTTTAATTTCAGGAATAGAGTTTAGTGATTCATCACTTACATATAACACCCCAGTGCCCATCCCAACAAGTGTCCTCCTTAATGCCCCTCACCCATTTATCCCATCCCCCTACCCAACACCCTGCCAGCAACCCTCAGTTTGTTCTCTGTATTTAAGAGTCTCTTATGGTTTGTCTCCCTCTCTGTCTTTATATTATTTTTGCTTCCCTTCCCTTATGTTCATCTTTTTTACATTTTCTATCTCTTTGTGGGAGCTCTCACTGAGATCCTCCACTCTTTTCTCAAGTGATAAGTGTCTTTATGACTACTGCTTTGAATTTTTTGTGAGGCATCTTGCTTATCTCCGTTTCATTTAGCTCTTTTGCTGCAGTTTTGTTCTATTCTTTCATTTGGGACATATTCCTTTGTCTCCTCGTTTTGTCTAACTCTTTGTTTCTATGTGTTAGGAAAATCAGCTACATCTCCTGCTCTTGAAAGTAGTAGCCTTTTGAAGAAGAGGTCTTGTGGTGCCCTGTAGAACAATGGCCTTTGTTCACCAGAGCCGGGTACTTTAGAGGTGTCTCCTATGTGTGTTGCATGTACACTACTGTTGTGACTGAGCCTCATTTGCCTTTGTCCAATTGGCCGCAGTGGCCCACTTTGCCTGTTGTGATCTGGGTTTGGTCCTTGTTCTCTTAGGAGGATAGTCTGGGGCTGTCACTGGCTTGTAGTTGGGCAGTTTCAGCAGTAAGACCAGATGCCTACCCTCAGCCCATTTACTGGGGCTACAGTGGTACCAACCTTTAGAGTGTTCTCCCTATTTTATCCCCTGAGAGGTTTTTGTTAGTGGACAGGACCAGTAGTCAGGCCAGATGCCTGCCAGGGTGCAGTTATACTGATTGGCAGGGGACTCTCCCTGCACTGCTAGTTACAATGTTCAGCTGCTGGGATTGAGAGTCTACTCATGTGTGTGGTTATCTTCCCGTCTCCCCAGGGCAGGAGTCACTTGGGAGTGGAGCTGGTCCCTGTCGGGGCTGCTTGCAGGATGGAACACAGCAGAAACTGCTTTGGAGGGACTCCTGCTGAATTGGGTGTGTTGGATGGGTGGATCTGTAGGAGAATGCAGGGTGGCACCCAGTGTTAGCATGGTAGGTGGAGGGTGTTTGTGCTGTTTCCTATAGGAGTCAGGCTATCTAGGCTGGGAGAGCAGGAGAGAAATGGTGCCCACTAGCTCTTTTGTTATTGGAAAAGTGTCCTAAAGATCCCTGTTCTCCAGTACACATTCTGGGATTAGTAAAGAAATCTCCTTTACATATACTCCAGGCAATTTTCAAAAAGTATGTTTCAAAAATTTATATTATATACTTTTTAAATTGAGACAAAGTCTGCTGTTTTAAAATATACAATTCAGGGGTTTAAGTATATTCACAAAGTTATACAATCATTGCCACTGTCAAATTCTGGAATATTGTCATCGTCATCCCCAAAGAAACCCTGTATCCCCTAGCCATCACTCCCAATTTCTTCCTCACTCCAGTCCATGGCAATGACTAATCTACTTTCTGTCTCTATGGATTTGCCTTTTCTCAGCATTTGATATATTGACTTTTGTGCCTGGCTTCTTTCACTTAGCATAATGTTTTTTGTGATTTCAACATGTTTCCATGTTGTGACATATTTCAGTGCTTTATTTCTTTTTATAGATGGATAATATTCCATTGTATGAATATACCATTTTTGTTTATCCATTCCTTAGTTGATGGACATTGGTTTTTTTTCCCACTTTTTGGTTATGAATAATGCTGCTGTAAACATTCATCTATAAGTTTTTTTTTAATGCTTTATTTATTTTGAGAGAATGTGAATGGGGGGGGGAGGAGAGAGAGAGAGAGAGAGAGAGAGAGAGAGAGAATCCCAAGCAGGCTCCATGTTGTCAGCACACAGCCTGACATGGGGCTCGATCCCACAAACTGTGAGATCATGACCTGAGGCAAAATAAAGAGTTGGACATTCACCCAGGCACCCCCATCTACAAGTTTTTGTGTGGACATATGCTTTCAGTTTTCTTGGGTATGTACTTAGGAGTGGAATTGCTGGGTTATATGGGAAACTCTATATTTAACTTTTTAAGGAACTGCCAAACCATTTCTAAAGTGGTTGTACCTTTTTATATTCCCATCAGCAATTTATGACAGTTCAATTTCTCTACATCTTTGCAAACACTGGTTATAGCCATTTTTTTTTAATAACCATCCTAGCAGGTATGCAGTGGCATGTCATTGTGGTTTTGATTTGTATTTCTGTCATGACTGATGATGTTGATCATCTTTACATGTTCCTGTTGTCCTTTATATATCTTCTTCTATATCTTCTGTTCATTCATTTGCCCATTTTTACTGGATAATTTGTCTATTTATTATTGAGTTGTAAAGATTCATTATATTTAAATTCAAGTCTCTCATCCAATATATGACTTATAAATATTTCCTTCCATTCTGTGTTAACTTCCTTGATAGTTTTCTCAGAGTGCACAAATTTATAACTTTGATCAAGTCAAATTTATCTATTTTTTCTTTTATTGCT